GGCACCTGCCTGTTCCCTCAGTCAGGCGCAGGGACCTCTTCCCCTTCGGACTGTCAAACTGAAACATGACAGCAGCCGGCACAGTAGCTGTCTGTCCGGAGTGGGTGCCCTGGTTGAACTGTACCTGTGTATGTAGGTCACGTGATAGAGTTGCACCTTATTGGTCATGTTGCATAATAAGGTTACTCCTTGGTCCCAGAAGTCCTTATACACAAATATAGGCACCTGCCTGGCTTTCTAAAAAGTCATTTTGGAGCAAAAAGGGTAGGCTGCCGTTACTATTATTTTGGTGAATCAAGACTAAACTTACTTTTGTCAGATCGGCCAAAAATACTCTTTTCTGGTGTGCGCAGAACTTCAGGACCGCAATCACTTCGCGTGTGCCAGGAGAGGAGAGAGGTGGAAGCGCTGGAGGAGAGCGCAGACCGGCCGACGGGGTGCAGGCCCGGAGCAGGCTCCGCGTGTGCCCTGCCGTCTGTGCCGCCCCTCTGCCCGCGAGGCCTGGACGCAGCTGGGGACGCCGGGCGGTTGAGCTGGCACGCCGCGTTCCAGTCACATGTGCGCACACGGGCAGTGGCCCGGGGTCAGTTTGCTGACCCTTGGACTAGGCAATTGCTAGAACCCTGTTGCAAGTTAATATTCTGTAAGATCCTAATGCAAGTTCCAGGTTCCTCAAGAAAATGAACAAATCGTGAGAAATCCAGGAGAAAGAGTTGGGTTCATTTTAGATTCTTAATTGACACCCTTATTAAAACAACATTTAGTGCAAGGGCATGGGAGAGTCTGCAGACAAGGGTGCCGGCCGCTCTGTGCTGCTGAGCTAGCCTTCCCGGGTCTTCGGGGGCACACCGCCCTTCCTCGAACCCCTGGCTCACCCGGGCAGTGTGTTCCGGCACTTCTGCTCTGTGGGAGGGGTGGAGAGGGCCTGTCGGTGCGCTGGAGGGCAGCGGACGGGGGTGGGGGGGCTGCTGCAGGTGTCCTCAGAGTGGGGGGCGGCCGGGGCTCTCGTCCGAGTTTGTTTCCGAGTTCCACGTCACAGCCCTCCCCCCGTCTGTTTTACCTTCTGCACCCCGGGTGGGGGAGAATGCACACTCTTGTTCTTGCCTCAGTGGGGGGGTCTTGCGATGGCTGCATGCACATGGCTGCCCTCACCACCACTGCTGTTCACTTCTTCTGGGAAACCTCTTCCTGCCCGGTGCTGGAGCGGTATCTCACTGAGTTATGTCTACGGTTTTTCCCTGTTTACTGGGCGTCAGGAAGCGAGATGGCTTTCTTTTTCAGAGAAGCGGTGTCCGCTCGCCCTTTCACCAGCACCTGGTCCCCCCTGCTTCTGTGGGTTTTCCCCTGAGCTCGGGCTCCAGTCCTTTGCCTTTGAGGCCCTGGCTCCCAGGAGCTGCTCCGGCCTTCATTACCTCCTCTGGGGTCACCTTCCGGCCAGTGCGCGCACCTGCACGGGGTCAGCCAGCTCCCATGCTGAGAAACACCCCCCACCGCCCTCTGTCGGGGGGAGTCCCCTTCCGCATTTGCTGGCAGGGTGGGCCACCCCTGCATGAGGCAGCCACCCTCCTCACCTCCCTCTTCTGTACCCCCTGCTTTGGCATTCCCAGTAAAGTGGGTCACGTCCGTGTGCACTGGGGTCAGTGTGTCTCTTCCTGGTAGAGTGTGACCTCCTCTGGGGAGAGGTTTCTGTCACCTCGTGCACCCCGGGGGCTGAGGGTGTGCGCCGACGCCTGGGATGTGTGAGGCCCAGGCAGCACCTGCTGGGTAATGAAGACTGCGGGGTTCGTGACCTCAGTTCTAGTCGCAGCTCTCGTTGCTTGCCTTGCATTCCCTTGTTTTAGGATTGTGTCATAGCCACTGCTTTTGGACATGTTCTGTGTGTGTGGGCGGGGGCGGGGGTCTCTCTCTATGGAGAAGTGTGTATTTGAATTGTTTTGGCAAGATCCCGGCTTCTCGTTTTGATTTTCGTGGGACTGACCTCCCTTCAGGAAGTATCTATGTGCCGAGACAGCAGTGAAGCCCCCTCTGGAGCGTGCACCCGGAGGGACAGGGCTGGGCCGGGCCCCGCGATCCCCAGCCCTAGCTGTCTGCTAGACTTACTGGGTGGCTCTAAACGACAGACAGACAAAAAAGAGCCTGCTCAGTCAGATCGGGGTGGGGCCAAGGGTTGTATACTTTTGAGCAATGTTTGTACGTGATTGCTGTGAGCTGGCCTGGCATACGGATTTCCTGGCCTCAGCGGAACTGGGTGTCATAATTTATTAGCCGTGTCTGCCGAGGGTGATTGTGACTAAGTACTAACTTCTTCACTGAGTATCAGTGTGACAAAAGCTGTGAGCAAAACTCTGTGTTGGTGTTTTCCTACATGGGATCCTCCTGTGTCAGGACGTGTGGGATCTGGTGGGGGAAGAAAAAGTAACACGGAGATCCTTTAGAAAGTGTGAGAAATGCGGCTTTGACCGCAAGTCCAGCAGGAGGCAGAATGGAGAGCGGTGAAGATAAGTGTTTGATTCTGTTTGTTTTTCTCACAGGTTTGGTGACTTGTCAGAACAGTCCAGAGGCATATTTTGTTTGACCCGCAGATTTAAAAAAGAGTTGAACTAATTGCTTAAATTTAACAGGAAAAAGTTTACGGTCACAGATTTCCCTCCAAGGATCAGTTTTGCTGCATCCTGTGTCTGAAAGTATTTTCTTATTTCCCTAGTTATTTCTTGTTTGGCCTGTTGGTTGATGAAGTGTTTGCTGTTTAATGTGAATATGAATGTTCCAGCTTTTGTTTCATTATTGATTTTTTTTTGTTTGTTTTGTCCCCCGCCCCAAGACTATGCTTTGTACGATGGGGACCTTTGAAGTTGGTTGAGAACCGCTTTACGGCCAGGCGTGCACACTGCAGCGTGGTCTGGTGTGCCTCGTTGGGGTTGGCCGTCTCTGTCAGTCTGTTCTCACATTCACGGGTCCTCCTGCCCGTTTGTCTACCGGAGGGCCCGCTGTTGAGGTTTTCATCGCAGTTCCTTTTCAGTTCCAGAATTTCTCTTTGTTTTTTTTTAATGATCTGTTTATTTAGATCAGGGGTGTCAAACTCATTTCCACCAGCAGCCAAATCAGCTTCACAGTTGCCTTCCAAGGGCCGAATGTAGTTTTAGGACTGTGTCAGTGTAACTGCCCCTTAGCTGGAGGCGAGGAGCTCGGCCCTGCCGCCGGGCAGAGACAAGGTTCCAGGACGGATAAAACCAGGTGGAGGGCCGGGTTTGGGCTGCGGGCCTTGTGTGTGCCACCCGTGGTTTAGATCGTCTGTCTGATGCTCCATTGTCGTCATGCCTCCCTCTAGCTCTTTAATCATGGTTTCTTTAGAACTTGTCCTCTGCGGTTTTCATCTCTGTAGTGCACCTGAATCTCATAATTTCTCGAGTGATTCTTTTCTATTTGATGCAGGCCTTTAGGGTCAGTTCCAGAGACCTTCAACAGTCACCCCATTAGCGGGAACTGACCAGTTTCCTGGGCGGCGGGCGGTGCGGCTCCTGCGCTCTCGCCTGCTGGGAGTGCAGCTTGGCAAGCACGCCGACGTCCTCCATCCTTGGGGCTTCAGAGAGCACCCGCAGCCCCAGCTGGGGACGAGAGGGTGGCCCCCCTCCCTGCACAGTCTGGCCTGGCCGCCCTCAGGGGGGCTCTCTGGGGTGGGCTCTCTGGGCGCTGCCGCTTCCGAGGCCTCCAAGCTGCACGCGTGTGTGTCTGAGGTGCACACCTTTGATTCCGAGTCTCTGATTTTAGGGTAATGAAAGTAAATTTAGAAATGGCATGAGGTATGCTGTGTGTGCAAAATACGTAGTGTGGAGAAAATGTAAAATATTTGTGTTTTTGTACTGATTACATACTACCATGATTTTTTTGGATATCCTAGGTTAAATAATACATTTTAAAATTTTAATTGTTAAAGTTTCATGCTTTTTACTTTTTAAATGTGACTACTAGAGAATTCTTTTGCTTTTTTTTAAGTCCTCACCTGAAGGTATGTTTACTGATTTTGGGGTGGGGGGTGGAGAGAAGAGCATCACTGTGAGAGAGAGACACTGGTTAGTTGCTTCCCATATGCGCCGTGACTGGGGATTGAACCTGCAGCCTGTGTGTGCCCTGACTGGGGAGCCTACAGCCTACTGGCGTATGGACGATGCTCCAACCAACTGAGCCACCCGGCCAGGGTGCTGCTAAAGAATTTTAAAGTCTAATCGATCCTGGAACAACTTGGGTTTGAACCTCACAGGTCCACTTATATACAGATATGTTTCAGTAAATACGTAGTTGGCAGCCTATGTCCTCAGGTTCTGGTCTGCAGACTCAGCCAGCCACAGACGGAAAGCAGTTCTCTGACCCGTGGTTGGGAGACAGCAGGGGCAGAGGGTGGGCTGTGTGTGCTGTGCTGGGCCGTCTCCCACGGGGGCCTGAGCCTCCCTGGATTTCGGTGTCCGCAGGGTTTCTGGATCTGTCTCCATGGGCTTGGGGGGGGTAACTGTTGAGTTTTGTCAGAGGCTACCGTTACACTCGGATTTTCACCCGCATGGCGGGGGTGGGTTTTGGCACCCCAGGTGCTCTGTGTGCGTGTGGCTTGTGTCGTGCCCCTGTTGTCTCACAGCTCCTACGTCATCCTCACACTTCCTAGCGAGGGTCTTCCTCCTCCCTGACTCATTTGGAAACAGCATAACGATTAGAGAGAGGGTCACAGCTGTCAGCCAGATCAGCAGTTCTTTTCTTTTTGGTAGCTGTAGCAGAAATATAACTGGGTTCTCTCAGCGGTCTCTCATGCCTAGTACTGTTCAGTAAATTGATTTTCTTCGGGTAGCTATGTACTTTAAAGTTTTCGAATGTTAAAAATGGCAAAAGTATTTATAAGAGTTATGCGTGGACAGTGTCATACCAGAAATCCCCCAGAGAAAGGTGGCGTCGGTGTCGAGGGTGTGGGGTGGGCTCTGTTTTGGGAAGACTGACTCTGGCGGCCTCTCTCGCAGATGATGACTTCGACCAGTTCGACAAGCCCGGAGCGGAGCGGTCCTGGAGGAGGAGGGCTGCGGACGAGGACTGGGACAGGTACGCCCCCTGCAGGCTCACGTCCACGCTGATGTGTCTCCTTCTGCCATGTGACTCTGCAGAGGTCCTCTCTGCACACAGTGTGGCGGCCGCCCTGCGTTCTTCCTGAGTGGGCTGGGGCGCGAGGGCGGGTGCTCGGGGAGCGGCTGTGCCGTGCGCAGGGCGGCCAGCGGGCACTGGCTGTCTCATCTCGCTGTCTCTGCATTGACAGGCCGGGCTTGGCGGGCACTCAGCATTGTCGGAGTTCTCTGCCGGGCTTCTTGTTGTCCACGTCCTTCCCAGTATTTGGTGGACGCCAAAGCTTTTGCCATTCTGACGTGCACTCAGTGGCGTCTCGCTACCATTTAAGTGTGCATTGCCCTGGTTCCTAGTGAAGATGAGGATGTGCTGTGTCTGTTTAGGTGCACGTGTGTGCACGTGTGCATGCCCACACACACACATGCACTCAGAGTGTGCAGACAGCCCCCGGGAGTGGCGGGTGTCAGTTCAGGCAGCAGTGAGTTTTGGCGAGGGGCTCGAGCAGGGGTGGACGGGGGTGGACTGGCAGAGTCTATGGGCCAGAGCCGGGGCGGTGGCGTTGTCAGGTGGGGAGGATTCCCCTGCACACACGTCTCACTAAGTCACAAGCTGTGTGGAAAGTGGGAAAGGGACCTTGGCCTGCGATGGGGAAGTCTGCTCTGAAGGCTAGCAGCCCTGACCACAGAGTAGCCCGTCTCCACACCGGAAGTGGGCGTCCCCCCGCGTCGGGGCAGCTTCTCCCAGCCCTCGCCCAGTCCACTGCTCCCAGGGTGTCTCCCTGGCCTGGAAGGCCGACGCAGAGCCCAGAGCCCAGGAAGCAGCGCTGGCAGCCTTGTGTCCGAGATGGACGCGAGCCCAGTGACCGCGCAGTGTATCTCCGCCGTCTGCTCCTCGGGTGCTCTCCTCTGTCCGTGCTCTTTCATACCTGGGTGGGTTTTGGGGGTGTCTCTTCTTTTTATTGATTTTAGGGATTCTCTGCAGTCGGGGAAATGTATGTGCTGATAGAGATCCCCTCCGAGTGTGGCCTGTGTCCCCTTGCGCAGCACACAGCCCCTCAGCAGGTCTCTGTCAGTAACATGAGCGAGTGTCCCGTCCTCTGCACGGCGTCGTGTGCCCTCACTGACGTGTGAGAGTGTGTGTCTGCGAGGAGAGCGCAGAAGCTCTGGCCGGCGCCTGGTCCGCTTGGAGTCCCTGTCCTGGGACAGTGCCCGCTGCCCCCTTTCAGAGCGTGGCCGTGCCGCGGAAGGCTGTGGACGCCGACACGCAGACGCCGACACACAGATGCTGACACGCGGACGGCCCTCAGTCACTCTGACTCACGTGCCTCTCCCCTTCAGCGGTGTTTCGTCACGTTTCCATTGCTTCAGAGTTTGCATTTTGTTGAGTGTTGATGCTCTCAGTAGTTTTGGTTTTTAACTTTCCTGTTTAATGGAAAACTAAGCTTAGAGGTCTGCCAGAGCCACCTCCTGTAGCAAAGCCTCTCGGACTTACAGGACCTGTGTTCCCTGTGTATTTGAAAACAAGTTTTCATTGTTAATAAAGGAAAGTATAGCAAACACAACATGCAAGTACCCAAGCCCGAAAGCCCTGGGCAGATTCCCCAGCCACCCACAAACTTCCCGGTGTATCATCATGACACGCCGTTGTGTCTCTCTTTCTCCCCAGTGAACTGGAAGACGACTTACTCGGAGAAGATTTGCTCTCTGGCAAAAAGGTAAGAAATACGGGTCTTCCTGAAATTGGTGAACGGTAGTAATTTAATTACACTTAGAATATAGGAATACTCATGCACCTCTGCCTGGGATGCATTACTAGAAAGTTGGGTGTAGATTAAAATTTGGTAAACTGAATTATTTTTTAAGCGCACTAAGAGCTGTTAGTAAATTCTCTGATGATGTACACCTCAGGCAGTGCATCCTTTAGTAGTTCCTGCACCATCCACAGCGTTTCAGCAGGTACTGAGTTTGAGAAAGTGACAGCCATGCAGCCACGACCTGCCTTGAAGGCACCTAGCATTCGGGGCTAGTGCTGGGCACACTGGGTCTGGAACTCACTGTTTGGGAGTGTTTGCAGATGAGCTGGTAGGGAAATGTGCTCAGACATGCAGACAGTCTGGTGTTTATGATGAGGGTCTGAAACCTAGTGTGAGTTCCTCCCAACCTTTCTGATTAACTGGAAACTTGAAGGCTGTTATCATTAATGTGTATCTGTTTGTATATTGTGTGTGTATCACTCTGCCAAAATAGTTTGAACATAATAAAACATATGTTAAAAATAGAAATAAAAAGCCAAAGATTAAAGTGAAATAATAATTTTTCATTTTATTATTAACAGTGTGAAAAAACACTTGCAATTCTCATTACATATTGATAGCTGTTTTATTTTTTAATTAATTAATTAAATTATTTCAAGAGAGGGAGAGAAACGTGAGTTGGCTGCCTCTCGCAGCACGCCCCCAACTGGAGCCCCTGCCCACAGCCCAGGCACGTGCCCTGATTAGGAATCAAACCGGTGACCCTTTTGGTTCTCAGGCTGGCACTCAGTCCACTGAGCTACACCAGCCGGGGCTAGGTAGTTCTTGTTTGAATTGAAGTATAATTGACACGCTAGTTCTTTATACTTAGTATTTTGAAGTTGTAAGGTTGTGGTGGCTTCTTACTGTCAACATTTATACTCAAGCTTACACTTTCAGGTGATCGGGCCACATCATTTGTCAGATTTTTTATTTATCCATTTATTTATTTTTAGAGAGGGAAGGGAGGGAGAAAGAGAGAGAGAGAAACATCAATGTGCGGTTGCGGGGGGCCGTGGCTTGCAACCCAGGCATGTGCCCTGACTGGGAATCAAACCTGCGACACTTAGGTTCGAAGCCTGCACTCAATCCGCTGAGCTACGCCAGCCAGGGCCATTTGTCAGATTTGATTAGGTTTTCCTTGTAATCTCATCTGTAGTCTAGTTGCTGAGGAACTCGTACTAGGAGAAGCACAGGCGTGCCACTTTCTTGTAACTTGCTGTGCTGCACTATCAGCACTGTCTCTGGGAGGTGAGTGTGTCGTGGGGTCCTTTTGAAGTCACTTTCCTGCCTCTGTCCTGTTTCTTACTGCACCCTGGCCGGCAAGTGCCTTAGGATTGGCCGTCCCTGACCTTTTCTCCCTCGAGGGGCTCTGCCAGCACCTGTGACTCTGAATAAGAATTACTTTAGTTACCTGCAGACCCATTTGGTCTCACGGAAGTCGGGGGATACAGCAGGCTGGGAGGTCAAAAGCCACCAGGGAGCCCCCCCGCCCCTGCATGCCCTGGCGTGCGGATGCCACCCGTGTGGGGTGCTAAGGGCACCAGGGCCGTCCTGCCTGCTCGCGGTCGGAGAGGCGGCTCCCCAGCCCCGTGCTCTCTGCCAGTCTCTTCCGCCGTGGGCGGCGCGGCGGCTTGTTTAGTTTTAACAGCGGCTGGCATTCCTCTCTCCGTCCCCTCCTTTCTGACGTGAAATAGATACCTTGTACCTTGTAAGAGTTAGAGTTCAGTAATACAAAAACAAGTGATGAAGAAATAGGGGTGAACCCTCATGACCGAGGTTTTGCCCTGTTTTCTTTCCTCCTACAGTTTATTGATTTCAGACACGGGAAGAGGGCGGGAGGGCGAGAGAGAAGGAGAAACATCTATCATTTTCCTCCCGTCCACACGGCAGCCGGGGATCAAACCCACAGCCCTTTAGTCCATGCTCCAACCAACTGAGCCACCTGACTAGGACTCCTTTTATTCTTTTTCCTGTGCTTAAAAATATGCGTAAAACATTGTTTCTTTTAAATGTATCCTTGTATCAATGCTTGTTGTCCCTAAATGTTACTTTAAAGTACTTTATAATGGCTACATATTATTTCCTTGTTTGTGTACACTGTGGTATACCTAGTTGTTTATATGTGTATTGGGGTTGTTTCCGGCTAATTGCTTATGACTTTTGGGGGGCGAAACACCTTCTCAATGGAAAATTTAAAGCCTGTGCAGAAGAAGAGGGGACAGTGTCACAGGACCTCATGCACTTGTCACCTGCGTCAGCAAGGTTTAGTCGAAGGCCTCATCTTCACCCCCCACCCCCCACCCCCGCGTTATCCCCACGCGAGCCTCAGATGGTACAGTGACGCTCCGGTACGTGAGCAGGCACGGTGATGGCGTTCACTGCGCAGGTGTTGCCGAGATCGGAGAGTCTTTCCTCGGGCGGGTGGTTTCCATGAAGCGGAGTCTCTGGCCTGAGGGCACACGGGTTTTAGCTGCCTGGCTCCTGTTGCCAGGCTGCCTCCCAGGAAGATTTCCCGCTCCCGGCACCCGTGTGTGGGTGTCTTTCACCTTCTCGTTCCCAGCTTCGATGTCACCTAAAAACAGTCTTTGTGGTGTGGCAGATGGAAAACGATGTCTGGTTGGTTTGCTCTCTGTCTGATTGCTGACGAGGTTGGCCGCTGGGCCAGGCACCTCCTAGCCTGTTCATTGCAGGTCTGCAAGCAGACCCCAGGTGGCGGGGGCACTGGCGGCCCGACCGCCGCCTTTTCCCCACTCGGGTTCCCACGAAAGATATAGAGATGTAACTTTGTCGTCTGGAGAGAGATTCTGGGCCGCAGGCGGCCCAGAGCGAGTGATGGCTTCTCCTTCCACTCAAATCCACGTGCTGCGTGTAGCAAGCATGTCAGATGGACAGGGACAGCTTGAGGACAGGTCTCTCTGTGTCAAGAAGGGAGGGACTGGGGTCGAGTTTTACATTGCATGCGGGACAGAAATGGAGAGATTGCGGAGGCCTGCTGTGGCAGGCTGGCCTGACCCGGTGGGAGCTGGTGGAAGAGCGCGGAGGTGGGGGTGGTAGGCTCCTGCCCGGCTGGGCCTCCGCCTGGCGCTCCTTATGAAGATAAATCTTACAAAGATTTCCTTCTGCGGCGGCTGGCCCTGGACCCGGGTTCTTCCGGGCTCGGACACCTGCTGCCCCGTGCATGCACCCCTGCTGCCCCAGGAGGCTCCTGCATTCCTGGGAGTCCTGGGGACCCCCTGGAGAGAACCGTCCTTTCTCTTCCTTGCCGCCCCCCCCCGCCCACCGTGGGAGGTGTGGCTAACTGTTTGGTGAGCCTGGGAGAAGGGCTTCACCAGCGCGCCTGGCCGCTGCCTCTTACTCTGTCGGGCTCTGTGTGCCCTGCTTTCTGGCAGACCATCCTGAGCAGAACCTGCCCTGGCTTCTCCCTCACCCCAGTTCTTTGGGAGGCAGTGGGAAGTGAGTTTGGGGCCCCAGGATTGAGTCTGGTTGTCCGTGCCAGCCCTATCAGTACAGTGGACACGGGGACTGTTGTCTGCCCTGTCTGTGAACTCATCAGGTTCAGAAATGACACGGCTGAATCTGCAGAGCTCAGAATTTCTGACGCTTACTGCTGTGGGGTCCATGACCAAGCGTATTCCTGTTTTTGCTTGGCGAATAATTTGTTGGTGCACCGATTTTTGGCAAAGAAAAGTTCAGCTGAAAAACTCGAGGAAGCAGCCTCTGACTGAATGAAATTTGGCTTTCACTGAGGGTTAATTTATACAGAGTTCCTGAAAGCGGTTTCGTGAGCTAACGGATTGGGCAGCCAGACCTCACGTCGCCCGTGGCAGACCCCGTTCACACCTGCTGGTGCGGTCCTGCCGCTCAGAGCCGGCCCAGCCGGGAGGCCAGTGTGCAGGCAGCTGGGCGAGCCTCGTTGGGGCTGTTGAGCACTTTGCTTCGTTCCCCCCAGCGCCAGCCTCCCTCCGAGTGAGCGAGCCACCGCGTCTGTGTCTGGTCTGACTCTAGTGTCCGCGAGTAGGTGGGGCCCTTGGGGCCGGTCAGAACTGCACTGAGACTGACGTGGTTTTGCTCTGGTTGGGGGACTCGTTGGCCGTCATACAACCCGCACACCGAAAGGCTGAGGGTTCGATGCCCCGTCAAGGCGCAGGCCTGGGCTGCGGGTTCAGTGTCCGCTCAGGGAGCACTCTGATTGGACAGCTGATGGAAGTTCCTCTCTCTCTCCTCCTTCCTCTCTCTCAGGTGACTCAGCATATACTCTGGTGAGGATGGAAAAAGTTATGATAGGTTTTTGGTTTTCATCAAAAATACTGTAATGGAGACTATACAGACGGGTATGAAGGAGCCTGTTTTTATAAGCTATAAAGATGCCAGGAAAAGGCTGCTTTGTTTCCTTCATCTTCAAGCAGCAAACCAAGTCTTCCCCCGCCCCAGTGTTTGTGTGGGAGCAGGGCCTTGATTGTCTTTTAGAGGGGCAGTGGTAATTTGTCCATCCCATAGAAATAGTGTCACGTAGGGAAGGGAAGTGTGACCTGGCCCCTTCTCCCTGTCCAAGATACCGGTGAGTATTTTACTTAAAACCTGGACCTAGAGAAAGCTCACCAGTGGGCGGAGTCGCCGGGCTGCCTCTGTTAGGGACGCCTGAGGGCGTGGGGCGTCGGGAGCGGGGCCAGCACCCGAGCAGGCACGAGTGTCCCCACACGCCCCTGGTTGGAGCCTTTGTGCAGTCTGTTGCCATTTCCGGGTGGTGACCCAGCTGTCTAAAGTCTGTTCGCTTCCAGAGTTCTCCTCTTCTTTCTCTTTAAAAAGTCTTTAGATTTTGGGTACTAAAATTGTTAAATTTAGTGAAGTCTTAAGAATACCATTTTGTTTGTGTAGGTGCATGGCAAACATTTTTGTGGGATGTCATCAAAAACTTACCCCTCCCCCCTTTTTGGTTAGAATTAGAATAAGTATGATCATTATGCTTGTTGCTTCTGTACTTACTTGACTTTGCATCTAAAAACTAGCCTGGGGTGGCTAGCCAGTGCGCTCTGTGTAGGATTTCTTGATTTTGTCGCTGCTTGTAGCAACCGTGAAAACTTCCTGAATGGCAAATGTTTTCATAGCAAGGTTGGAAACAATCCAGTCAACATGATTTTGCACTTTTGTAACACGTCTTTTTATGGAAGTGACATGCATTAATGAGATTTCTTATTTTAATTAGAACCAATCTGATTTGTCAGATGAAGAGCTGAACGATGATCTTTTACAGAGTGATAATGAAGACGAAGAAAATTTCAGGTACTCACTGTTAACTTCTTAGAAGTGTTCTTTCTTTAGCTGAGGTGATAAGGACTGTTTGAAATCCGAGACTCTACTAGGGACAGCTTCGTGTGGTGTGACCTGCAGCCTCGGGCCGCACTGTGAGTGGAACACCAGCGCGGCTCCGGTAGGAGAGCCCCGCACGGCCTCCTGCTCAGAGCGGCCATGAGACCCTTGCTGGCCGCGCGCTCAACGGCCTGGCCTGTGGCGGTGACCGGAGGGCGCAGAGGAGCCCCTCTGCCCGCTGCGCTCCCAAGCTGGGCGCCGCCGCCGCCCCCCATCCGGACTTGTGCTCCCTGGGTGTGAGTCACACCTGGCTGTTTGCCGTCTGGGAATTGCCACTGCGGACATGCCTTCGGTTTCTACTTCAGACTCCAGCCGGACGTCTGAATACAATTGCTGTGGTCCGCCTGGGCTGCCGTGACGACACCGCAGCCTGGGCGGCTCGTAAACGGCAGGCTTCACCTCTCGAGGTGCGGGGCTGCTCAGGTTCTGGTGAGGACCCACTTCCTCGTGCTCAGGGGGCACCTTCTCACCGGGCTCACACGGGACAGCAGGGCTGAGGGGCCCTCTGGGGTTCCTTTGACGATAGGGGCACTGATCCCATCATGGAGCTCCACCCTCACACCTGCAGCACCTCCAGAAGCCTCCGCCTCCAGACACCATCACACCGTGGGCTGCCCTCGAAACACACTTGTCCAGTTTTTAAGCCACATGTCTGTGAGGTGCATTTAATGTTTTGTTATTATTAGGTGCTTAATGTGTAGGACTTAGATTTATCTGCAAAATCTTGCATTTTAGGTGTTATCTTACATCTTATTGTTGGTATTCACTTTTTAAAAAAAATTATTTTCGGAGAGAAGGGAAGGAAGGGAGAGAGGGAAACATCAGTGTCTGGTTGCCTCTCACACACCCTCTATTGGGGACCCAGCCCACAGCCCAGGCCTGTGCCCTGACTGGGAACTGAACCACCACACTTTGGTTCTCAGGCTGGTGCTCAGTCCACTGGGTCGCACCAGCCAGGTGGTATTTGGCTTTTGTGACTTAATAGGTAGAATATGATTTTTTTTTGCAGTTTTAAAATCCCCTGTATGTTACTCAGAAATAATGAAGTAATGTTTTTTGTATTTGTGACTACAGTAAACTTTATGTATTTGAATATTGAACGGTAGTTTTACTTCCATTTTCAATATTTTTATATAGGAGTTTATAATTTGCACCATAGATTAAAAAAAATTCCATCTATGGTTTTCTGTTTAAAGAGCAATGCTCCTACTTTTTCCTTTGAAATATTAGAAAGCAGATGCTAGCCCTGGCTGGTGTAGCTCAGTGGATTGAGCACGGGCTGCGAACCAAAGTGTCGCAGGTTCGATTTCCAGTCAGGGCACATGCCTGGGTTGCAGGCCATGACTCCCAGCAACCGCACATTGATGTTTCTCTCTCTCCCTCTCTCTATCTCTCTCCCTTCCCTCTCTAAAAATAAATAAATAAAATCTTATTAAAAAAAAAAAAGAAAGCAGATGCCATCTTTTCCATTCTGGTGGTTAGAGTGAAATACACTCTATTTGCTTTCTGCTTTCAGTCCTGAGCTTCTGCTGGTCAGACCTGCTTTCTGGTCTGGTCGGTCTGCTGCTCTTGGTCAGAGAACCTGCAGCTGCTGATCGGGCGGGTGCTGTCTCGTCGGGGCGTGTGATGCCGGCTCGGCTCTGAGCATGGGCTCTGGCTCGGCCATTGGTGGAGTCCGTGTGTATTCACAAGAGCTGAAATAGCTCTCCCCCCTTCAAGGTTCATCGTCTACCACTGCGTTGACATGCGGACTCAGTTCCGAGCTCCACTCTGACTGGCTCCTCTCTCTGGGTGTCTGTCCTCTGTAGTTCTCAGGGCGTCACCGTCAGTCTGAAAACCACCTCTGGCATGGTCACATCCTACGAGCTGTCCGACCACACGCACGGCCAGGCCGGAGAGCAGGAGTCCGAGTATGAGCAAGGAGAGGACGACCTGGGCTACCCCAAGGCCGACGGGTCTGCGCTGTATGCTCACGAGTACCCGGAGGAAGGCCAGTACGAGGGCCAGGAGGCCGAGCTGGCCGAAGACCACATGGAGTACGTGGAGGAGCCCGAGGAGGAGCCGCTGTACAACGACGAGGTGCTGGACATCGAGATCAATGAGCCTCTGGACGAGTTCACGGTGAGTCCTCCCCTTTGTCCGCCTCGGACTGCGGGCTGCCTGCCGCCGGTTCCGGATGGGTTAGAGTTAGAGATCTCGTCCCTCCCTCGGGAGGGAGTGAAATTAGACCCGATTATCACTGTCTGCCAGTTTCTTTATCTGAGCTATGACAAAGTTTGTGTTGACAGCTTGTTCGGCTGCAGGCGATGCTCCTTTGTCACTCTGGAAGGCCGCAGGAACGGTGACCTTGAAGAGTGCGCCCCCGAGGAAGCGAGCGGCTTTGTGTGGCCGAGACACTCTGTCGATTGTTAGCAGTACTTAATGCGGAGCTTTCATCCAGCTTTAGACAGGATCTGATAAAGTCCTTCGCAGGTGAAAAGATTATTGACCTGCTAAAGACATCTTGGCGGTGCTAATATCCCACAGTGATTGATGTCCTGCTCATTCACCCTTCCTACACTGGAGACCTGTCCAAACTCGAATAGAGAGATGGGAGGTCGCGTCAGGGGGCGGCCAAGGGGTTTGCTGTCTGTGATCGGGAGGTGAGATTGTGCTGATCTGCATTTCAGAGAGGTGGTTTCCATAGTGGTGCTCTTTTCTGAAGTATCAATGGACAAAAAGACACTAGTGATGGGCTGTTCCTCTGTCTGTAGCAATTCATCATGGAAAGAGATCTTGTCCCTGCTTTTATTTTTATTAGTATTTATTTTATGCCGAATTTACTCCCAGGCCCTCAGTTTTTCTTTCTTCAGTTTCTCCCGGGATGTCTTTGTCTTCCGTGCAGCTTCCTCTTCTGGGTTAGCGCAAGTGCTCCTTCTTGGGGGGACCATCTCCGGGCGGTGGGCGAGCGGTGTGCAGGCGGGCCCGCCCGAGAGCGCGGCGAGTGCTGGGCTGCATCCTGGCACTCTGTCCCCCCGGATGTGCTCGGAGAATCTACACCGGAACCCTCCAGTGCAGCACCGCTCTCTGCACTTTCAAGCATGTGCAGCACAAACTCAGCACTCGTGTTGGGCCACCAACCCTGTGCCCACCCCCCAGCGGGGCCCGGGCACACCTACCAACTCCACCCTTGTATCGGTGGGCTGGGACACAGTGCTTCTTTAAAGTGGCATCTTTCAGATACTTGGTGGCTTTTTGAGTATGCACACCTTTGACAGCCTCAGCAGTTCCACAAGTGTTCTTAAGGTGAACATGGATATTTGAACATCTTGATTGGCATGCTTTTGTGGGGTTTTCCGCGTCCAGTGAAGAGTGAACCATCTTCAGGGGTCACCTCTGGTTGCTTTTGGGAAGAGGAAGAAAAAGTGTGGTTTGTCTTTAAAAACAAGCATTCAGTGAGCTTCACGAGGGAGGAGCGTGCCTCCACAGCTGCAGTGGGGCGTTGGGGTGTTCAGAGTGCAGGGCTTGTGCTGGAGGGCTTATGCTGGGGTGCGTGTCACGGGGGCGGTGGGGGTGGGGCGCGGAGCCCCAGGCCGGGGCCTCTGCCCTCGCGCCTTGTGTTCTCCTTCCGGGGAAGCTCCCGTTGGAGAAGAAAGTCAAAAACTGTGGGGTTTTGACCACTGAGGTACATATTCGAGAATGTATGTAATTTCTCAAGGGCTGTGGACGTGGTCCTCAGACTGTCCAGATTGTGCTGGAGTGTCTCAGTAGTCGTTTCTAGGTTTGGTTCTTTCTGAATGCTTTCCCTGAGGCAGACGCCGTGCGGGGCGTGTGGGGGTTTCGGCCGGCAGAGTCCCGCAGAAGGCGTGCCGGGTGCTCGCTCTCTGACAGCCCCGCGGCGGCTGCTCGGCCGTCCTCAGGAGTGCGGGCAGGCGCTCTCTGGGTCCCTGGTGTGGCTTTTGTGCACCCTCTTGTGTGGGGGGTGCCCCTTAGAGTGCTTCCTGAAAACCAAGCCCGGATCTTTTAAAACTGTGCCTAGTTATTCCCTAGTTGCGGCGTCTTATTCTTGCCACTGCCCATCAGCTGTGTGTCGGTGGGGCAGACTCCAGCGGTGGAGTGAGGCCTGTGGCGGGGGCCACCGGGTGTTCCCTCCGGCAGCACCCAAAGGTGGGAAGGTCCCTGCGTCCTGGACCTTTTGCTGGTCCTGTCCTTGAGAGTGAGGTGGGATTTGACGTACAGATCTGTACTTAGGAAGGAGATTATTCGTCAGGAGATTCTTGCTTTAAGCAGTCAGTTTGTTTAGGGCCTTCAAAACCAACGCGTGAGCCCTGGCTGGGGGGCTCGTCCGTTGGAGCCTTGTTCCGTAACCGAAAGGTGGTGGGTTCAGTCCCCAGTCTGGGCGTGGACGGGAGGCAGCCAGTTGGTGTTTCTTTCTCTCTTTCATTCTTCCCTCTAAAAACAGTGAAAGGGTGTTCTTGGGTGAGGGAAAAAAATTAACAATGAGATTTCACAAAACCTTGTTCTGTGAAAACAGTTTCTGGCTGACGGTGCACGCGCAGGGTAGCAGATCGGGCGTCCCAGGGAGAGTCCCGCGGTGCCGGCCGAGTTCCAGTGCCGTCGGCTGGACTCTGGGGAGCACCGAGCAGCCACGTGTGCTCCGCTCTCGGCGACTCGTGGGTGCCGACGGGTGGTGTCTGACTGTCGCGTCCTCCTCGGACGTTTTGGAGGTCTGCTCGCTGTGGAACCACGGCTGCCCCTCTGTGCTGCCAGGTCGGTCGGATGCCTCGGCCTGCCCGCCCTCTGTCACCGGCCCTGTAACCACGCAGTTCACTTCAGCGGGGGCCGGGGGTGCAGCTCCTCCCTGGGGTCAGATCTTCTTGTCACTTGTTAGTGACACTTGCAGGGGCCCTTCTTCTCCCTGGGATCGGTCCCTTCCTCCTGTGCGCCCTCTAGGCGTCCTGCCTGCTGGTGTCTCACGCAGACCTCCCCGTGTCTCATGTGGGGTGGGGTGGGGTGGGGAGCTTGCTTCTTGTCCGTGGTGCTCAGGACGCTCTTGCGTTGGGCCCTGCCGCCTTCCTCTGTCGCCTCCTGCTGCTGTCAGGGGGGTCTGGGGCACGCACGACCCGGCCTTGCTGCTCCCTGGGCCACGGGGTCGCCTTCTCTTCCGGCTCCTTCCTTACCACTCTCTCCATCCGAGCGAGCGGCCCTCAGGGCCCTGGGGTTTGCGGCAGAGCCGGCACCTGGCGTGCGCCGGGACGACGAGCAGCGCTGGGAAAGCCCCGACGCCCGGGTGAGCAGTTGGGGCAGGAAGGCACTGCCCGCGCCCTTCTGGGGCTGCGTCTGCTCCCCTGGTCGGAGCTGGGGCGGGGGGCTCCCGAGGTGCGGTGGTGGCGTGTCCAGTCCCACACAGACTCCCCAGAGGGCCCTCCGCGCGGCCGTACCGTTGTCCTCCTCTCCCCCACCCGTGTGAGGGTCTCAGTTCCCCGGCACTCGGTGTTGTTAGCCTTCCCCGTCTGCTGTCCGTAGTCTACACAGAACGTCTGTGCACACATGTACACACGTGTTCACAAAGTCTGTGTGCTTTCTGTGTAGCTCATAGTACCCGTATGTTCTAAGTCCATTGCAGACACACAGAATTAATATTTTCTCTAAGCCTGTGGCTTGGGTTTTAATTTTCTTAAAGGTATTTTTTCATAAGCAGAAAATTTTAATTTTTGTGAACACTAATTTTATGACCCAAGAAATCTTTGCCTACCCCAAAGTTGCAAATATAAATTCTCTGTTTTCTCCTGGAAGCTTTATCCTATTAACTGTTTCTGGCTTAGGCCCATGCTCTGTCTCAATTAAGGAGTGTCTGTGTGGCATGGGATTCATCATTCTCGGTGCGTTTGTTAGCTGTTGCACTGCTATCTGTCGGAAAGGCTTTCCCTCCCCCCGTGAGCCTCTGGCCTTACTGCTTGTGCTGAGGGTCAGTTGGCCGTGTGAACCTGCGTCTCTCTCCGGGGCCTCCCGCCTACTGCCAGTGCGCCACTGCCCTCATCGCTGTGGCATGGCCTCGGGTGGTGTGAGGCCGCCAGCCGGGCTCTGCTCCTGAGGGCTGTCTGGTCTTTTCCAGGGCCTTTGAATTTCCACGGTAGCCCTGTCATGGACTTGCCGGCGTCTACGCCACCTCCGGTCAGATTGTGATGAAGACTGCGTTGTGTCGTAGATCACACTGGGGAGAGCCCAACAGTCATGCTGCCCATTAGTAAACCCACTTCCATCTTTCATTGCCAACCTTCCTTTTCTTTCTTCTGCCTTACTGGCCTCACATTTGAGGCCTCTGTTCGGACTTGGCCTTGATAGTAGGGAAGACGTTCAGTATTTGGGCGACGCGGAGGACCTGTGCCCCAACCCCCACCGTGTTCAAGAGTCATCTGTGTGTGTTTCAGAGAGACGACTCTCAGCTCACGCAGCCCTCTTCTGATCCCTTAGGTGGAGATACAGATGCTGAGTAAACCACCTTAGTTCTGGTGCTGTCGTGTTGTCCACTCAGCTTGTTTGGAGAGTCCTTGAACCGTCCTTACTGCTAACGGTTGGATGAGAGACGGCTGTTGTGATGGAGTTTGCTTTATCAGTCATCAGTTTTTTCCTCCTCGGTGGCCTTTCTGCTCAGAGCGGGGACTGCACCAGCCTGTGGGCATCACCCGAGCTGCTCCCGGTGCAGAAGGAAGCTCAGGCCCCGCCCCGGCCCTGCGGCGCTGGAGTCTGCGCTGTGGCAGGAGGCGGCGCCCGTGGTGGGAGCCCGGTGCCAGTGCTGGAGCAGTGCGAGTGTGTGGGGGGGGCTTTGTGCGTCACTAGGCCCAAACGAAAGCTGTAGTTCACGTTCATCGTTTCATTTGCAGGGTTTGCGCTCCTGAAGGGGTGTCTCTGCTTGTAGGAGGTATAGCAACAAGTGTGTGCATTTGCAGCCGGCCCTCTCACGCAGCAGCTGCCGGGAGAGGGTGCAGCGACAGCGTCGTGCCGTGTCGTGTGCGTCTGCGAGTGCAGCAGTTCCATTTTCCCTCTGTCGTGAGTGCGGGACACTTAAACATGACGGACTGTGAAAATAGGCAGTTTTTAACTCTGTGAGAAGCATTTCCATGAACCGGCACTCAGCAGGCGTCTGTCCAGCTGTCTGACCCAGTACGGGGCGGGAGGCGACAGGCGTCGGGAGGACGCGGGGGAGCTGGCGGTGGGGAAGGGGCAGGCGGTGGGGAAGGGGCAGTCGCTGTGGCACTGGAGCAGGGCTTTTGGCGGAGCAGTGGCGCGGGGCGTGGGCCGGTGCCGGTGAGCAGTAGGGGCTGCGCGGTGAGGCTGGGCGGCTGGCCCCGGGGTGGCAGCAGACCCAGTGCCGGGTGGGCCTGGGGTTGGAGGGCGGCGAAGGGGAGACCTCCAGCGGTTCCCTGTGTGGTGGGCAGCAGTGCCCTGTCATCTGGTGTGTGTGACACGGTGGCGAGGTGAGCCGCGTGCCAGCGAGGGAGCCCCCGGAGCCCCGTGTTCACTGCGCTGACATATCTCACTCGGCTCCAGTCTGGGTCGGGCGCCCAGCCGGCGGGGGGTTGGGGACTCACGCGCGTTCCCTCTGAAGTGTGATCAGCAACCCGTGGGAATGTAATCTTTTTTTTTTTTACGATAGGTTAGTTTTTAATGTTTGAGATAATTTTGTTTTAGAATCAGCTCAGTGTTGCACATGGCCTTATATTAGGACATTATGAGGTGCCTTTACATCTTAAACGTAAAGAACTTACGTTCTTCCATTTTCAATTCAAGAGGAGGTGAGCTCACTGTCTTTCCCCTTTGTTGTGTGTGTCTGCTGTGTAGGGGAGCATGGAGACTTTGGAACTACAGAAGGAAATAAAAGAAGAATCAGATGAAGAAGATGATGAGGATGAAGAATCTGGACGATTACGTTTCAAAACTGAAAGGAAAGAAGGAACAATTATTAGGCTCTCGGATGTAACTCGAGAGAGAAGGAACATTCCAGAAACTTTGGGTAACTATTTTGTCTGTCTCTCATCTTTCCTCACTCCCATTCCAGCTTCTTCCGTAGCACTATTATGGGAAGACCAGCTGGCGTTCTTGAGCATCACAGAGGCCATCAGAGGGTGGTGTCCGTGTGGGCTTGGCGCCGGGCTGTGGTGCTGTCCCAGTCATTCTGCGACAGTGCAAGGCGGCCCGTGTGTGGGTGCGATCGACTGACCCACATCCTGCGCAAACCCTGCCATTCAGGATTGGCAGCAGGCTGCTGCTGGTCGCCAGAGCGCCTCTTCCAGGGCTGGCCCCTGCCCCAGGGCTGGCCCCTGCCCCAGGGCTTCTCCCAGCGTCCGCGGCAGAGAACAGAGCCGTGGTGTTCAGGCACGAGTGAGCACTGAGGCACCTGGAAGGCTCGTTAGCACGGGTTTCTGGACCCCCTCCCAGGTCTTCTGCTTCAGAAGCGGATGGCGGGGCCCAGTGCAGGCGCACTGCTGCTGCGCCCCGGTGGTGCTGCTCCCCGCTGCAGCTGCGGTCTGAGGGCCTCAGGGTGTGGTGTCCTGTTCTGAGGCGGAGGGGCCCGGGGAGGAGGCCGGAGGGCTGCGCCACCCTCTGGTCTTGGTCCCAATGACAACCAAGAAACTGACCCTCGATCACTACCTTTGTCACTTCTTAAAACCATTATCTGCACCCATTTTTGGTTAAGAACACGAGCACATAGCTGCGAGTGGTGGTGTGGTTCCCCGAGAGGACGCTGGGCCTGGAGATGCGCCCCAAGCAGCGGCGAGCCGGTCAGGCCGCGTGCTGTGGCGCTGAGCCCCACGGGGAGCTCGCTCTGGAGGCCCGGCGTTCCCCACGCCTTCCCCGGACAGCTTCTTCCTTCTCCACCTCGGCCCAGGGTTTTCCCGGGCTTTCCTCAAGTTAGGTGTCAAGTTGCCAGTCCAGGACTGTAGAAGTTTCTAAGAAAGAGGATTTGAACTTGGTCTTGGGAAAGGGCGATGACGAGAAGGTCTTACGACGTGAGAGGACAGCAGAAGTGTCCTTCAGCTGAGCAGGAGGAGCGCTGGTGTCGCAGGGCAGGCCCGCTGGGGCGCGCGCCTCAGGCCGGGGCTGGGGGGGCGGGGGTGTTTCCACTGTCTCGTCAGCCGGGCGAGGTGCTGCTGCATCATCGGGGGAGCTGATGCACCCAGTTGTCGAAACTGGGGCAGCCACACATTCTGAGCCGAGAAGTCACTAGACGGTCCCCAGTAAGCACCTCTCTCTCTGCGGCCAGCTCCCTGGAGGCTGTGCTGGATTTCCGGGGTCGCCCTTCCCTGACCCTTGCTGCCTCTGTGCGGCCCCTGGCCGTCTCATCCCTGCCTGCCTCCCCTGGCCCGGGCGTGGACAGCGGCGAGCTCGAGTGTGCAGCCTTTCACTCGCCCCCCCCCCCCCCCGCCCCCCGTCCAGCTGCCGTGCAGAACCAGACTGCCGTTTGCTCCTTCTGTCCTGCCGAGCGGACTGTGTGCTCTGTGAGTGCTGACTCGTCACGTGCTAGTCCCACTGGGACGTGGCTGTCGGTGCGGGAATACGTTTTCCTTAAGCGCACTTCAGAAAGGGACAGTGCAGCGCAAAACTTCGTTGCGCTGACCTGCATCTCTTTACTTCAGAATCTGGACGAGGTTCAGAAAACACTTAAAGGGAAATTAACATTTCAGCTGAAGTTACAAACGTAATTTCCATCCTGTCATATTTTGGTGACCCTTTGTGACAGCTTGTCTCAATTGGAGGAAAGCATTCTTACTTGCTGATTAAAGATGTCATTTGAAACCATTTTATTACTGGGGAGAGTGAAATTAATCCTGACACTTAGAACCGCTGGAAGAGGAATCGCCGATGCACTGCAGAAACAGTGCGTGCGAGCCAGCCCTGCAGCCGAGATGAGGGTGGGAGCCCGCGCTTGTCAAGAAGAAATTAAATTTTCCTTCCAGTGGGGCCTCGATTCATTGGGAGCGGGGGTTACCGTAGAAACCATTTCAAGGAAATGAAACGGGACTTAGAGATTTTGGAAGAGTTTGGAGCCGACTGTGGAGTCCGAGGGAGGAGACAGTGGTGACGTTCGTACCGCCCCCATGCTGCGGAGGGGGGCGCGAGGCTGCCTCCCGGGGGGCGCGAGGCTGCCTCCCGGTGTGCGCGCATCCCGCAAGGTGGTGCTCGCATCCCGCAAGGTGGCGCTCGCAGCCCAGCACTCAATAAAGGAGCCGAGTCGGGTCCGCCAGCCTTTCTCTTCGGAATTTAGGGTGACGTGCCCCTGAGGCTTCCTGAGGGCAGGGTCCCTGTGTTTCAGATCCCTAACTCGGTTAGGCGGGGGGGTGGGCTACTGGTGCCCCACACAGGTGGGTGGGTGCCAGTGGGCTGTTTCTCAGGTGACTGAGCTCTCCTTTGATGTGGCTCTTTGTCAGAGGGTGTGCATTTTAGTCTTTCTTCACATGCTAAAGATTTAAAAAAAATTTTTTCACAAAACTAAAAATTTGAAACGGTAATAGTAAATGCTTTCTGTTGTGTATAAAATTCACTCTAATTGTTTGACTTCGGGGTGATTGCATTAATAGTTTTGTTTCAAATGCAGGAGAGTCCGGAATTTGTTTTGTTGCATAAACTCTCTGAGTTGCTGTACCCCTGTGCACCAGGAGTGCATGTACCAGGGCCACTGGGACAGCCGTGTGTGGCGGGGGGGCCAGGCAGCCGGGCCCTGAGCAGTGCTGGCGGCCATCAGGGTGTACGAACATGGCGGCCCCTGCCCCGCAGCCGAATCGCATGCTCACCTTAGCTGTCCTCTGTGTACCAATGTCAGCGGTCCCTAGTGAAGGCGCCTCCCGGTGCATTCCCACAAGAGACGCTGGTGTTCCACGGGCAGAGTGTGCCCTCACTGAGCAGGTCTCACCAGTGGCCCCGGGGTCCTGCCCGCTCCCGTGGTGCAGTTGTCTGTTGTGGGGGCCACGCCGCTGTGCCGGGTTCCGCTGTCCCGGGCATCTTCCCCGCGTGGTCCCTGACAGCCTCCTTCCCGCTCTCCACGTGTTTCTGACGTGTGTACCTCTTTTCCAACAGAGCTCTCAGCGGAGGCCAAAGCCGCACTGCTTGAGTTTGAAGAAAGAGAGCGCCAGCACAAGCAGGGCCGCTACGGCTCCCGGCGGGGCGGACGGAGAGGCGGTGCCCTGATGTGCCGTGGCGTGGGGGACCAGCGGAGAGAGAACAGCGAGCGGGGCCGCGTGAAGGACCACCGCCCTGCACTGCTCCCCACGCAGCCTCCCGTCGTGGTAAGGTCACAGTCACGCTGCGAGGCTAAAGCCGGGGCAGACGGGAGTGGGCTCTTGTGGGCGTGGAGCTCTGTGCCTGGAAGTGAGGGTTAGTCGTCGGAGTAACGGCTGCAGGCTCCTTACAGTCCAGCAGTTTCATCTGTGGTCTTCCACGTTCTGTCCGCTGGGATCTGTGAGGCAGACACAGCCATTCCGCTCGCAGCTGCGTGGGAAGACAGCTGCAGTACGACCTTCTGGAGGGGCGACTGCAGAGGAGGCTTGCGGCGCGGGCCCCGTGGCTCGTGTCTGGTCCTCAGCGCGGTGCTGGGCTTGCCGTGGGCAGTTCTGCTGGGGCGGACGGAATCTCTTTCGTTGGGAACCCACACGAGGTCTTTCGGCCGCCATGCCGCCTCCTCGCCCTGAGACCCATCACACGCTCACTGCACAGGCGAACAGCTGCTCTGCCCAGCGCCTGGTGCCTGTCGGTGTGAGCTCACTCTGAGTTGGAGCTGTCTTGTACAACTCGTTGCTATGAACTCTGCTCCAACTTGTAGCTTTTATGCTTTAGTCCGTGTAAATCCGTACCACGTCAGTCGTCTTCACTTTGCTTCTAAATATTGATTCCTGCGATTCTGTCTTTTTTGGTGGTTTTTAGACGCACTCTCCAAGACTGATTCCTCCAGCACAGCCTCAGCCCCCGCCGCCCCCGCCCCCGCCCCAGCAGCAGCCCATCCGGAGCCTGTTCCAGCAGCAGCCCCTGCAGCCGCTGCTGCCCCTGCAGCCCCCGCACCACCCCTCGCCGCCGCAGGGCATGCACGTGCCGCCCCAGATGGAGGCCCCCCGGGTGATGATGACCCCTCCGCCCGTGACTCCTCAGCAGCCCAAGAACATCCACATAAACCCCCACTTCAAAGGGGCGGTGGTGACACCTGTGCAAGGTACGTGTCTCCTCTGCTGCTGTGAAGTCACGGCTCCTGTGGCCAAAGGCCAGTGTGGCGTCTGGGCGCCTTCCCCGGCACTGCAGCGCCTGCTGCTTCCCGGGCCCGCCGTTCCCTGAAAAGGGTCTGTCTTCGCGTAGGGCTGGGTGGGAAGCCCTGGGCCGAGAGGGCAGCAGAGGTGTGGGGAGAGTGCGGTGCGTGTCCACGATGCCTTGGGAGGGGTGTTTGTGGAGTGTGTCCGCCCGGGTCCCACTCAGGGCTCCCCGTGAGTCCCCGTGCTGGCTGGGGGTACAGACCCACCTTCACCCATGAGTTCTCAGTGACACCCCCCCCTCACCGTGAGGTCGGAGAGGCGGGGAACAGGCAGCTCACGTGGAGCACCTGGGCGGGGGCAGCCATGAGGGCCAAGAAGGCGTCTGCCCCTCCCCCCCACCCCCAAGCGGGGGCACCAGAGCTGGGGAGGAAAACAGCATCGTCCTTGGGACAGCTAGGTCTCCGTCAGAGCAAGACGGGAACGGGCTGAGGTGCTGGGGCCCGAGCATGGGTGCTGGGGGCCACAGACTTAGGATGGCAGAGGTGTGGTTGAGAGATTTCAGAACTTGGGAGGAAGCCCGAGTGCAGGAGTGTGGAGGGGTCGGCAGCCTGGAAGCCTCGTGAGGCTGTGCCGTGGAGTGCAGGACTGTGGTGCAGAGGGCCCCGCGGTTCCCCAGGCCGTGGGCCGGCAGAAGGTGCGGTGACAATTTTGGGAGGGCCGACAGCGTGGGCACACCTTGTCCCGGTGGCACAGGCCCCCTCTTTGAGGACGAGCGTTCCATCGGGTGGTGATGGGCCAGCTCGGGTGCGAGTGCTGTGTGTCCTTCCGATGCTCGCTGCTCCGGCTGCTGCGAGGACCCGCAGCTGATCCAGTCCGATAAGTACATGAGACAACAGAAGATGAAAATGTCCGATGTCAGACATCCAGAGTTCAAGGCTCGGCCGGCTGGTCTGTTCACAGCACGAGTTTTATTTAAGTTCTCTGAGAGGCAGGCACGGCTTCCCGCCTGCAGACCCGGCCCCGAGGGGCAGGCTGCAGACGTCCCGGGGGGCCGATGGAGGCCCTCCCCCAGCCGGGCTGGGCCGGGCCTTGCCCGCCCCCTCGCACCTGCCCTCAGGCGCGCCTGTCAGCCATGGGAGTTCACTGTGGAAATGTGGGCTCCTGCCCGAGCTGTTGTGTGAAGACGGAAGCCCTGCTCACCGCTCTCCCTCGATGGAGACTTCATGGGTTGCATGCTGTGCACGTCGTGGGCATTTCACACTGAACACACCGCGTGGACTTGCAGGGGCTGCTGGTCAGGGTGTGTGTGGCGTGTGGGTAACGCCAGGTGTCTCTCCACAGTGCCGTTGCTGCCCGTGCCGAGCCAGCCGAGACCTGCCGTGGGACCTCAGCGATTCCCGGTGAGTAGCAGTGGCTCTCCTGCGCAGGGGCTGAGCACACACTGCTGGGGGCACCAGTGCCACACAAGGGGGGGTAGGGGGGTGGGCGGTGTCCCGCTGAACCGAAGTTGAAGGTTGTGTAAACACTGACTTTGAGTTTTGCAGTGGAAAGTGTTTGTTAAAAGCTTTAGGTCAGTGGATTTTTGAGAATGGAGTTAGTTTTAACTGTAAAATGGTTGAGTCAGAGTCATCAGTGGCATGCCTTGCACCTTGCACAGCATGAGTTTGGGTTTTATCATTGCCTGACGTTAGCGAGGGGCCTCGCTTCGGTGGAGAGCGCGCAGTGGGCCCGTGGGTGTGGGTACGCCGCTCTGGGGAGTGCTGGCGAGGTCCCACCTTGCTTTCAAAGGGACCTCAGGGGTCTCAATGGCAGTTGATTTTGTATTTTAAAAGGAAGGTTTTGTCTTTTAAATATTCGTTTTTATAACATATCTTAACTAGAAGGAAAATATCTATTAAATACTTGTATCTGTGTAAGTAAATTTGGTTTATTTGCGTTTTGGGTTCGATTTGTAGTTGGTTCATGGTTTTAGTGAATTGATGAGGACGTGTTCTTCTTAAAAACAATGCTGGAAAACACAGGCCGAGCATAAAATTTTAACGTGGTTTGCATGTAAAACGAACGTGGTTCTGCGTTGGCTAGCCAACCTGACCTTCGTGAACTGCCTAGATGTGGCCCCAGCTTTGACGCCTCGGGAGATGTGTTCGTAGACGGAGTTCAGCAGACAGTTTTAATGACGGATCTAGATGTACAGTGAGATGATTATTCAAAAATGAAATCAGGATTGGGTTTAAGATTTGGAGTTTTTTAGGAACTTCTTCGATTTGTAGTAATTTTTTTTTAAGGATTTATTTATTTTTAGAGCGGGAATGGAGGGAGAGAGGGGGAGAGAGAGAAACATCAATGTGCGGTTGCTGGAGGTCATGGCCTGCAACCCAGGCATGTGCCCTGACTGGGAATCGAACCTGCGATGCTTTGGTTTGCAGCCCGCACTCAATCCACTGAGCTATGCAGCCAGGGCGATTTGTAGTAATTTTTTAAAAAGATTTATTTATTTTAAACAGAGGATAAGGGAGGGAGAAAGAGAAGGAGAGAAACATCAATGTACGGTTGCCTCTCCACACACCCCCTACTTGGGATCTGACCTGGCCTGCAGCCCAGGCATGTGCCCTGACCGGGCATTGAACCAGCCACCTTTTGTTGTGCAGGCCAGCACTCAATCCACTGAGCCACACCAGCCAGGGCTGTAATAATTTTTTATGAATTACAGTATGGTTTCTAAAACTGCTTTTTATAGATTTCATTCCCTTATATTAGCTAATCTTTTCTTTAAATTACTCAAATTTTAAAAACTGTGTTTTAAAAGTCAGGTGATACTTCATACAGTTCCCTATTCAGACTGTTGGTCTTAGTAGGTACACTTAATGAATCGCTGCCTCCCAGGCCAAGCCCGTGAGCGCTCAGGCGTCGGACCGCTGCCCCGGTGCGGCCGCGCGGCAGCCAGCGCCTGGAGAGCCCTGGCTGTTGTAGTGTGCGCTGGTCCCCGGGGCCGTGAGCATCTGCGTGAGGTTGTTACTGGACCTCAAAAACGGGCACTATAGGAAAAAATTGACACGACAAAGCAATTGTAGTTGAAGAAAAACATACAGTAATGTTGTATGTAATTGAGATTTCTGCAAAAATGTGTTTACTAACGTAAGAGCAGAACACCGTTTGCCATTTTCATCCCCTGTGTTTCCCCGTCGGGCGGACGTGACGGCCACACTGGAGGCCGCGGGCTGGACTCGCTGCGGGAGGGCAGTGACAGGGTGCTGTGCGGAGACTGAGCGGCGGCCGCCGCAGGGCTCAGGGCTGCTCTGGGCAGTCGCTGCGGGGCGTGGCATCAGGCGGTGTCGTTTCTGAGCCGGGCGCGTGCACAGATGACAGGAGACCGTTGCACCGCACATGCCTCGTGTGGCGTGGTGACCTGAGGGCGCTTCTTCAGTGCTGGTGTGCGCGGCTCTTAAGTGCGCGGCTGCTCTTTAGCCCCAGGTGCCGGGTCTTCGCTGGTCCCAGGGGCTCGGGGGTGTGGAAACACAGTGCTCCGCCTGTTTCCGTGGCCAGTCTCCTCAGGGGGGACGACTGGGCGTGGGGCCGGCACCACCAACGTGCCGCAGAAGCGTTGCATCTTTAAATCGTCCCTCAGAGTGCTGTCGAGACAGGGGGCTCACACCAGGTCACCCTCTGTCATCTTCCTCGTGCGAAGTCTTTCTTGAGTCTGAACGGCGGGATTGAACGGCTGCCGCCGCGGTGAGTGCAGCGTTGTGAGTATTAGCAGGTCCCTCCTGCGTGCCGAGTACTCTGCACAGTGCCGGTCCCCAGACCCTGGAGAGGGCCCCGAGGGGCAGGGAGCCCCGCCGTAGCCCCCAGGACCGTTTCCCCTGAGCAGTGCTGCAGGAGGAGGGGGACGGGGGCTTGTGCTCTCCAGAGCCCCTTGGGGATGGCCTCCTGCTGGCTGGGGCCTGTGGGCTGGGTCCTGGTCCTTGGGTCCACGTGCCCCAAACTGACTCTTGCTCTGTGAAACGTGCGCGCGCACACAGACACACACTGATAAAGCAGGTCAGGAGGCCGATGTCTGAGTTTTACGGAACTCTGGGCAGCCAGAGCGAGGTCCCCAGAGTCCCGTTTGTCTCGGCCTGAGCCCTGCAGTGAGTCCCCTCGCTCCTGGGACAGGGGTGCTCTTGTTGGCAGCTTCACCTCGTTCCGTGAGCACCGGGGTCCCGTCCGCAGAGAAGCTTCCGGGGAGTCCCAGTCACCCCGTGCCTGGGGGGCAGATGAGCAGCTGACCAAGCGCACACAGGAGTACGGCAGTGAGCGCCCCTGCTCCTCACTGGGACCCCCCCCCCCACCAGGGAGCAGTGCAGAGAAGCTGTGCAGTGCTCTCCCCCCCCAGTGAGCAGTGCAGAGAGGGTGTGCAGTGCTTCCCCCCCCCCAGTGAGCGGTGCAGAGAGGCTGTGCAGTGCTCCCCCCCCAGTGAGCGGTGCAGAGAGGCTGTGCAGTGCTCCCGCCCCCCCAGTGAGCAGTGCAGAGAGGGTGTGCAGTGCTCGCTCACCGGTTGTGCTCAAGGACACACGCGTGGACTCCTGCATCCGGCGCGGCAGGGAGCAGCTCCCCCCGGCCGGGGAGCAGAAGCCGCAGGCAGGGAGCGCAGGGCCTCTGGGTTCCCACATGGGGCAGGCGGCGGGGACCAGCTGTCAGCGGTGCTACGGTGCTTTCGTACACGCCGTTTTGTCTGACAGTCTTACAAGAACCTAAGAGGTTCTCCTTGCAGAACTAGTGTGCTTGGAGATCGGGCTAGGTGATGATACCGGCCCTTGATAAACTGCGAGTCCCAGGGACAAGCCGGCCTGACCGGAGAGGGCGCGGTGTCGTCTGTGACTGGGTTCTGTTCCCAGTGCCCAGTGCTGCTCCCAGAGGCCCCTTCTGGGTTCTGTTCTCAGCGCAAAGCCCCTTCTTTCTGTCGGCTTTCTGGTTACGTATTTGTCCGCAGGAGGTGTTTTGTTTTTAAAGTTTACCCATTCAAGAAGTGGCGCCGAGATCTGCATTCACAACATCCGACAGTGTCGCCTGGAGAGGTCGCCGACCTGGGGGCCCCCGTGCCCCGCACCGCTGGCTTGAGTGCAGCAGCCCTCCCCGTGGGAAAGGGTCTTGACCTGGGTGTTTCCAGACCCATCCAGCCATTGACCTCGCTTTGCTGTGTTGGGAAATGCTGGTGTTTCAACAGCGGCCAGCTAAGTACTAAGTAGTTTGGCTGCTGAGTAATTTCATCGTGATCTTTGTTTAAATTAAAACTAAAAATCATGTTAAAAAAAGACTTTTCTGTTTAAATCCATCTCCTCACCCGCTGCATCTCTCCTGGGGCAGACCCAGAGAGGGAGGTTCCCACTGGCGTCTCCCGTGTCGGCCCGGCGCTCACGGGGTCTGAGCAGTCCGTGCGCTCACACGCGTGTCGGAGGCCGCGCCCGGGACCAGGTGGCGGGGACCGACGGCTCCTGAACGCGTTCCAGGTGGCCTTCCGTGCAAATTGCGTTTGCCGAGACTGCTGCATCCAACCCGTCCTTTCTGACGGCGGGCCGTGCAGCTGTGCGCCCGGCCCCCTTCGTCTCGGACACGGTCTCTCTTCTGAACCCGCCCTGCTGTTACGACTTGCCCTCCGTGTTGCCTGTGGATAGCACCGACAGTGGGGACGGGACAACGCGACAGGCGTTTTATCAGATCGAGGGGTGGTAGCAGGGAACTCGGGGAGGCCCTTTGGCGGTGGAGGCGTCGGTCTTGCACGGAGAGAGTGCAATTTAAAGGAGAGGTGACACGATCACCCACCACCTCCACTTGCAGGCGGCTTCCTGACCGGTTGTGATGATGACCGTGCTTTACCACGCCGTCACACTGAACGGTGTCAGTGCGTCCCCATCTGCAGCAGGACGAGGAGCAGCCGCACACTGTGCGGCACTGACGGAACTCGGAGCTCGCTCACCGCAGCGCCCCGTCGGCTGGCCTTGTGTCCCCTCGCACACGCTGGGTGGGTGGGGGTGGGGTGGGTCACTCGGAGGCCAGGAGTGGGCCTGTGGGAGTCACGAAACCGGGTCCTGTTCAGTCCCTGAGCAGTTCACTTGCACCGTGACACGTTTGGTGGTCTGTTTTGTGTGCTCTGGCTAAGGAAGACCGTGCGTTGAAGTGAGAGCCTTCCAGAAACCCTGCCGGGGCAGACCCGTAGCGCCCTGCAGAGCAGCTGACACCGAGTGCAGCCTGCCCCCTGGGAGTCAGGAGCTCGCCCGGTGAAGTGCCAACAACACGGGCTACCAAAGCCTCAGACCTGTCGGCTCTAGTGACGTGCCCTGTGAAGCACACCGGCTGCTTCTTACTGTGTGTTTTCCCAGAGTTTTTGGAGACCCGTAGTTCTGTTGAGATACACATTTTTAAG